GGAGGATTGGGTGTGTTTTATTCGCTGCATGCTCGCAATAATCCCTCTATGTATTCATTTCATCTAGATAAGAGGGACCCAGCGGGTTTGCGTTTTTGTTGTTACTAGTTTTTTTAATTGGGGGGGCTGAAAGGTCATCTGGTCGCTTGGATTCATTTTTGCTTTGATAATCCTGCTGTTGCTGGTTCATTTTTGCTTTGATAATCCTGCTGTAGCTGGGTTTGTATGTAAAACTTATATATATATAAATAAATATATATATATATATATATATATATATACAATTATATCTAATATTAATCACGAGGAGCGTTAGATCGGTGACACTGATACACGGTAGGCCTACAGCATGAAAGCCGTTTTTTTTTTACTTGTTTAAAAAAAGATGTACGCAGTGTTGTGGAGATGGCCAATAACTATTTTTCTTCATCATAACAGTTTAGTGCTTCTAAGTCAGTTTTGTCGGTATTTTCTTATTCTGGCTTCTGGGTTTACGGAAGGGAAACCCACCTCGCAAGGAGGAGGGGAAAAAAAAAAGCAATCGATCTTATTCGAGGTTACTCTTAGTTGCTGGTTTTGCTTGAATACCGTCAGCGACCCTTTTAGCTTGAAAGTCGTACTGGCAAGTGTTTATTTTTTTCTCCTTGACGAATTCTTTCAAAGAAGTGATTTGCTGTATGGGGTGACATCTTAGAATCATATCAGAAGCCTGGGCGGACAGGTAAAACGTACTGGAATGAAAATCAAATGAGAAAAACAAAACAAAACAAAAGCGCGATGAAAGAGCGTGTAAACAAGTCCGGGCGTGCAGTCAGGGAAACTCCGTTCAATTCTCTGTACGGAACCGTAGACCCTGTCCATCATTTTTACCATGGTTGTTCACCAAGGCTTTTCGTTAACCTGCTTATTCATACGCCGCTCTGATAAACAAACATAATTGCTTATGGAAACATTGATTGACTTGATTAACTGTTGTTTTAATTTTCATACAGAAATATTCGTATTTTGAAAACTTATCATCTTGTTCCTAGAGTTACAAACAAAAGAGAACAAAAGTTATCAGGGACTACATTTTTAGCACATACATACCTAAAGGTGTTACAAGACATCATGGCGTGGATGAAGGGGAGTTCACCCACTTTTGCCATGGATTTTGTGACTATTTGAAGCGTTTTACAAAGGTAGAATTTCTGATCAGGTATCTATATTATTGTTATAGTAAATGTAGTGTTATTTTATTGTGCATATGATCACTCCAGCATTGCACAATTGGTAGATATGGTTCTTTAGTGCACCGGTGTGAAACACGATTCTGTACCCTGCCGCACTTGTGTTGGGCTGCGGGCGGCTCTCGGGTTACCCGGGCCCTCTCGAAATCGGGTCGTCGGACGCAATGGCGAGGGCTATTTCCAAAATTTTCGAGAGCAGTGGTAGCTATCCCATGTGATAAAGTCTTGACAGTTTGCAATCTCTTGGATTGTGTTGGAAATGGTTTATTTTGATGAAAAAAATAATGCAGGGAGTCGGATTTGTCGCACTGAAACCCTAGTTTATAGTAGCCTTGGATCTAGGCCCAGGTTCCGACCCGAGTTGATGATCTGCTAGCCCGAGCTCCGATCAACACATCCCTCAGCATACTGAAGCGGAGAAGTGCTAATGAAGTGAAGAGCATCATTATTTTTTTACAAATGTTTGTGCATTCTCTCAACATTCAGTTTGTGTTTATGCCTTCACTGGATGTCTTAAGTCAGAAAGTATTCAAAACTGAACTGGCTCTGTGGGTGAGTGACAGTCTGACAGTGATGTAATTTGTGAGTGCTTTGTTTCAGTTTTATACACCAAGGATATAATGGTCATGCAGTGTATGCAGGTCTGGTATCTCAATTTAAGTCCTTAAATGTCGGTACCGAAATGTGTAAGTCAATATTGGTAGGAAACTTTGACCCTTACTTTGTCCTTTGAATTTGGCCTGCCAGCTAAGCTTAGCAAGCTGTGGCCATGTTTGTAAAATCTGAAGCTGACCCAAGCTGAAGTTCCCTCTTGTAGAATCAAAACACTCTAGATCTAGATTCTAAATCTAGACTCTAGATCTAGATCTAATCTAGATATCTAGTTCTAGATCTAGAGTTATGATTTGATTAGTTAAGAGTTAGATCAAGGTCTTAATTGGCTTCGAGATCTAGATCTAGTTCTAGTCGCGCTTACAATGAGAATGTGAATGATGCACTAATTTTTAGATCCCCTCGAACTCGAGGGGGTGAAAATAAGAGAATTTTTTTCCCCGAACCCCATGGCTGCCTTTTTCAATAGGCCACCTCTTTTCTCACCCGGAGTGAGAATAGAGTGCAGGCGAGTCTTGTGGCTATTCTCACCCGGTGCGCGTTCACCCTAAACCACAGAATTCTACACTGTGATAACAGAAAAATTGTAGAATTCTGTGCCGTGAACAAACGTTCCATTACAATTGTAGCCTACTAAAAGCGTACAATTTTGTCTGTGGGCAGTGGAGAGAGAAAGAGAGAGAGGAGTAGCGCGAGAATTTCCGGGCAAAACAAAATGGCGACCCGCGTAGTTCGGCTCGATTCGAAAAGTTAAATAGCCGTAGCATCTTTGTAGACAACCAAATTTATTTACTTTTGTGTTTTAACATCATTTTTTAACTTTGTTTTGGTCAATTTGATCGTCCACACCGATAGACAGTATTCAGAAAGAGACGGAGAGAGAGAGAAGAGGGGAGGAGTTGATCTTGCGAGAACTTCCGGGCGGGTGAGAATAGCCACTTTCTTTTCAATAGATCTAGAGTCAAGGTTGTGGGTAGGTAGATCTAGATCTATGTTATTATGAGGTAAAGCAAAGCAAGTAAGCTTTTTGACTGCACTAATAAAACCACTAGATATCTAGATCTACTGTATCATTACTCTATTATAATTTGTCAGGCCTAAAACTCTGTAAAGCTTCCTGCCCTCCATGCCTGATCTCTATGCCATGTGGGCCAACTGTCCTGTTCAATTCTCTGCCATGAGGCATGAGTGATGTTTTCATCTCTTGTCATGTAGTTTACAGTATTAGTCTTATTTTACTGTCACTTTCACTTTCATTTCCATCTCATGCCCATGCTGAGGTGTATACATTGCTTTCCTGTTTGATTTTTCAGTTTTTCACAAATTTTGACTTGTTTCAAACTATTGTGATCATTTTTTAGATAGGCTGCACATGTATTGTAGGACTATTCATGGATTATTGTATAGCCGGCATTATTTCTCCGAACGTTCGGGAAAATAAAGCTGGGCACTATTTCTCCGAACACTCTGAAATCTCATCCTTTCCCGCAAATTTCGGATATTATAAAGATCTATAATTATAGTATAGGCCTACCAAAGATTGTTCGTATATATACAATATGGTTCAATCGGTCCAAAAAATGTCCACAGTAAATATTTATATATAAAGAAATGCTACAACTCCAAACAGTTTTTCGCTACAGATATGACGTGTTGCCTATGAAGGGTGCTGCTCTTAAACGTAATGTGTTGTGTTCACTCGTGTGCTGTCTAGATCTAGATCTAGATCTACGGAGGGTTATTGATAACGACACATAGAACTGGCATCTGCGTTTGTCACTGCTGCGACCAACAATGTACTGACACTGGCAAGCCCCTAATGTGTGTGATTCCATAATTTACATGTAATATCCTGTACTTAAAAAAAAAAATTACGCACATTTAGGGTTAAAACAGCCAATCTTCTTCGCACAGGTGGACACACGCCCTTATTTGTTAATGTTTGTTATTGTTTATGGGCTGTTTTAATTTTGATTTCTTTCTGTTGTGAAACCTTTCTTTCTCACATTTTTACACTCATCTAAAAATCTCTAGACTAGCTCTTGAAAATTGAAATAGATATAGACCCAAAATTTGCTCCTCTGTGTGTGTGTGTGTGTGTGTGTGTGTGTGTGTGTGTGTGTGTTTGTGTGTGTGTGTGTGTGTGTGTGTGTGTGTGTGTGTGTGTGTATGTATGTGTGTGTATGTGCGTGTCTTTGTGTGGTTGTAAGTGGAGAGTGAGGAGTGTGTGTGTGTGTTTGTTTTTCGGGCTTTATTTCAGCCTTTATTCAGTAACAGTTCAAAGTATACAAAAAAACCCCTCAGGATCCATTCACTCCATGGCTCATGAGTCGTTCGTCTCTTTCAGTTTCACTCATTCATTTAATTCCCCTGTTCTCTCCCGCGGCTCATCCCCGTCCGCATGACTTTCATACCCCACCCCCTCCCTCCAGGCACACACAAAGAAAATCTCACTCATTCCCTTGCACCCTGCGAACCATGGACAATAATATAGGCAAAACACTGCCTGAGCTGCATTCCTTTCGTTCGTGAGCTGTGGACCAGGCCAGGGGGGTCGGTGTCGTCGTCTTGTAGTTGCTGTGGCCTGTGGATACACTCGCACATTCTTCCTTTCACCCGCTCTTTCACTCACACTGTCTCTCCATCCACAGCTCAGCTCGTCATACGTTCAAAAGCTGCCCACTGGTCATGTTTAGTTAGTGTGTGTACATGTGCATGATGGTGGTGGGTGTGTGGTGGGTGTTACTGAAGGTTGTCTGTAGGCGGGCTTGCCATGCGGTGTTCCTTCCAAGACCAGAGGCAAAATGAAAGTTGACGCTGAACTCTCGCAATAAATAGGCCAAAAATCACGAGACCGGAAACCGGAAACCGTTCGGAGAAATAAAGATCGGCACTATTTCTCCGAACGTTCGGAGAAATAGTCACTTCGTTATTGTATTTGATGTTTTTATGTGAACTAAATTATTTAAATTATTATTACGCGACCAGTGCTTTCTTGTCTTATCTCCATTTTTAATAACACTGAAATCAGTTCAGAACAAAGAGTGAGCTAAGAAGAAGTCACATTTTGTGTGTAAAAAAATGGAGATAGGACAAGAAAGCACTGAGGTCGCGATAAGATTACACATTTAGGCCTCTATATTACTATAGGTAGCGTCAATTGTCACCAAGTGACGCGGTGTCAAGTCTGATAACAACTTTCTATGATCTAGATCTATCTTTAGCTTTCTATTCATAATGTGTTACGAACACATGACATGAATTATATGTTAGATCTAACCCCCTCTCATTAGATCTATAGTTGATAAGTGATATGGAGTAGTTACACACATTCCTGGGTCAAATTCTTCTTGTTACCTACACAATGGTATTCAAAACTATCTATAAATCTACGTATTCATTTTGCATAAATTCAAGTTCATGAAAAGATTTTGTGTACAGTAAAATGGAAGTCTTGTTTCCTGGCTCTCCTTTCGAGCTCCTCACGTGTAAGTGGGTCAATTTGTTCTCTAATTTCATTGGACGAAAATCTAGAACTACCAACTTGAACTTCAACTTAGCGTGTTTTGAATGAGACGTAGGCTAGCCTACGCTTTGGTGTAGAACCAACACAGACGATTCTAGAAGTAGGCCACAAACGGACACAGACTCAAGCAGAAATACGCTTTTATATATATATATCATATCGGGGAACATAAATCCGGGGGACGGGGGTTAGGGAGAGAGACACGATGCACACACATACACAGGGACAGAGAGGCGTGTGTAAGCGGAAGTTCACGAACGCCGAACACGGAGCACACATAGTATAGGCTAGATCTACTCCTCAAAGCAAAAGAGCTCCAGTTTCCTCAGTGGCTATTGATGCTGGCGTCAACTGTCACCGTGTCACTCAGTGGCAATTGACACTACCATTACTATAGTGCGTGGTTATGTATAATTTTAATAACCTGGTGGGGAGGTTTCAGGGGGGCATGTCCCCATTAATTGATGTTTTGCAATTTTATTCAGTTTGAGATTTTCTTGAAAAGTATTGATTTGTAATGGTTTTAGTTGGCATGTATACCATGTGTGTTTGGTAGTTTGGATGTCAATACATCAGGATTTGGGAGTGTAAAAATTTATAACTGGAGCTGGGAAGTCCTTGTTGTATCTGATTTGAAATTTAAATGCGTTTAAATAGCAATGTGTCTGGTGCAAACTTAGGTTTTTTTTCTGATGGTATGATACATGGAGACCTTGCCTATATATGTAGGCCTAATAATAGCGTTTTAGGTCTTTTACTTTCCCTCCCACCTCCCACTTAGCTACTATGACTACTAGTTGTCCATTTTGTATGAGCTGAACACACAAATCTAACTCATTTTGTCGTAAATTTAAAATAATAAGTTTTGAAATATTTGGTGGTTTTCAATCAAGATATTATATATATATCACATTCACACTAAGCCTAATTGCGTAGTCATTTCAGCGCTTTGGGCCAGTCAGGGGGTTTCAGGAGGGTTGTGTTGTCACCCATAATTTGATATTTTGCAGAAATAGTTTTGACTTGAAATTTTTTTGAAAAAATTGATTTGCGATGATTTCAGTGACTATGTTTATGTATTTGTGATCTGCAGCAAAAAATATTGCAGTTTGATCCCCGAAGCAGTGCATCTGTGTGCGGAAATGAAAGTAAAAATTAACCGCCTTCTGTACACTTTAAACTTTAGTAAAAATTTTGCATTCTGTACATTTCAAATTTTTGTGTACATTATTTTGTATGGCTGGCTGTGTACAGATTTAAGCTGAAGAGTTAGTTACCATTGCAGACAGATAACTTTATAAATAAGCAAGACTAGAATTCCTGGTGTAACTTGAACAATATGCCATAATGCCATTGTCCTGATTGTACCCTCGCTATATTTTCTTGTTTTCTCAAAAAGCAGCTTGGGTGTGTCGAGCAGCTCATCTCGAAATTCCTACCAAATTGTTACTCACCAATGTGAAATTAAACTCACCATGCGTGTGCATGTTGGAAAACAGATACCCGTGGTCATTGAGAGTCACGCACTGGCTAATGTAGAGACGCTTTTTCGCACTTTAACATATTATGTTGTAGGTGTAAGGCGCTAGAACTTTCTTGATTCTAGTGAGGATGGGTATTTATTTGTGGGTTTGATTGACCGAAGACGGACAGTGTGTTGCTGTATTGGGCCAAATGGTGAATATGGTGTGTGAATTGTGTTTGTGTGCCTGATTGTGTGTGTGTGCCTGATTGTGTGTGTGGTTTTAACGTGATAGCACATGTCTCTGGAAGTGTTATAATAGGCCTACACATAGAGGTATGGGTGGCGTGCTCAGAGCTGTGTTGGTTACATCGTCTTGATCATGACTTGACCTAGAACATTTTCTGTTTACTTACAAGGCTCATCAACATCACCTCCTTTCCCTCACTTTAACACCAAACTCCCCCCCCCCTCCCTCCCCGAGCAGTGCCATTGACTAAAGTGTTTTTAGCCTATCCATTCCCAAAGGACATTTCTCGTTCTTATGCACAGTAGAATTGTAAATGGGCTGATTCAACAATGTCATGCTCATAACTGAACTAAACTACAACAGAGTGCTGCTGCCTTTTCTTTCCTAGTCCTTACTATGTGGGTGGTTGGCGGGTGCTCTGGTGTGGTTTGCTCCTTCTTTCCTATCAAACTTCTATCGTCCTTATCTCCCCTTCTTCTTTTTTGTGTTTGTTACTCACTTGTAATCGTTCACCTCTAATGTTCTGGCGCTCATATGACCTTATGCAGTTGTGAACGCCGTAAACCTCGACCTGAACTAAAATCCTTACTATCGTCATTTTCCTCTACTTCTTTTGTATTTGTCACGCTCTTGAGACCCGCTATTTCCGGGATGCCTTGATATTCGAAACAGACTTTGTGCTGTTGAAGCAAGAGAGGTGAGCTGAGTAAGTCTGATTCCCTGTAAGGACTTCTCTTGTGACGTCCTTCCCTTGGCGCTAATATGACCTTATGCAGTTGCGAGCGCCATAAAACTAAAACAAACAAAACATCAAACTGGATGCGCATGCATTCTATCTGAACATCTATCCTTTTATAGATCCCACGGTACGTTTCATGATAGCAGAAAAGAAAAAGGTTTGTTTCTGAGTTGTCTGTCAATAAAAATCAAGCATCAAATTTTAACACAGGTTGACAAATCTAAAAAACTGAAATAATTAAGTACTGTATAAACTTTAAAAAATGATGGTGGTATTATGCACTACGCAATTTGTATTGAAACATAAATTTGCGAATTATATATATAATACTCTGTAGTTTAACTATACACGCATGTGGTTTTAACTATGCACACCCACCCCATGTAGCGATCCAACTTGCACTGACTTAACGCAACTATCTGCTCTGTGCCTCAACCGCTACTCACGCAGTCTTCAAAAGTCCGTGGCTCACGTCTTGGCCTGTCTTTGTTTTCTTCAATGTCAAATAGGTAGCCTACCGTACTCGACTACTTTCCCGAGAATCACACAGCTAACCACATACTTTTCTGTGGGTTTGGCTGAATCCTTTGTTGCTGTTACCAACCTTAAAGAGTGGAACCAAATTTCTCAATGATCCTGTGGGACCTATAATGGGAATTGAATCAACTTAGGGCAAGGGGTGTCAAACTCAGTCGTGTAGTGGGTCAATCTCAAATTACACTCTCAACCTTTTGAGTCCTAGCCATTGGTACGCTGGTGGTAGGTAAAACTGACTGGCCATATGCCTAGCCACCGGTACAGCGGTGAGCAAGACCTGATACCAAAACGGGTCTGCCTGAGTCAAAATGCGCGCGGAAAACAATGTTAACTACACATAACATTATTGATTGTTCTGAAGATATTTCTAAATTAGATGCTGGTAATGCCGAGGACTACCCAGAGTGAGATATGGAATGTGATTTTACGATCATATGGGAATGTTAGCAATATATTGCTCTGGCAGAGGGACACAGCAGCCTCAGGGCTCAAAGGGTGTTAAGGTTGCATACTAAACTGGATCAACACTCACTAAGCAGCAGGAAACTAAACATTGTAAAACAATTTTAATACTTTGCCATCTCAAGGCTCACATAGTAAAAACCCTTTCCATCACAAGCATTTTCGGGGGAAATCCAAAGAAACTGGTTGGTAAACATTGCCGATTAGCGTTTTGTGATGGGAGCGGATGATCGGTGGGATGTGACGGCAAAGTGTTAATGAATTAAAGTATGTATTGTTCATTTTTCAGCCATGCAGACGGTCAATTTAGCTTAAGATGGTCTCAAGGTTGTCTTCATGCAGCTTCTTTCTTGGCTAATTCTTCCTATGTTTGAAGCGCAGATTTTGTCGCAGTGCTTGCATGTCAGTGACATGGATCGAAGCTTCTTCTTCTTCTTCTTCTTCTGGCTGGCCTCGTCCAGAGTACATCCGGGCCCGGTCTCGCGTTGTTCTCCATAAGTGGGCCTCGATGTGCTTCCCCCCGCGGGCACTCATACAGTGCGTGCTGCAGGTCGTCAGGACTTGTGCCAATGGATCGAAGCTCTGTATTTCCGCTGTTTTCCTTTCGTCCTTGGCGCTTTTCAGCTTGGTTGTTTCTAAGGCTGCTCTCTAGCATTTTAGTTCTTTCTTTTATCATTTTCCTCCATGTTTTCCTGTTCTCAGCTATTTTTCCGTGCTGCTAACATCTACTCCAAGCTTAGATAAAAGCTATTTTTACAGGTGTCTTTCTTGTACCTCAGTTTTGGTCTTCCTTTTGGTCTCTTTCCCGTGGCAAGTTCTCCATAGAGAAGTTGCTTCGGAATCTGTTTGTCGTCCATTCTCTTGACATGGCCCAGCCATCTCAATCTCTTTAAACATAGGATAGTTGTCATGCTCTGGAGGTTTGCCCGTGCCAACACTTCAACATTTGTAACCTTGTCATGCCATGAAATGCTTAAGAGCTTGCGGCAGCATCTGAGATGGAAAATGTCGAGGTGCTTTTCTTGCCTGCTGAATGAAGTAAAAAGCTAAAATAATAACAAATCAGTTCAAATACAATTTTTGCTCGTATGCCAATTTATCAGAACTGGAGCTTTAACATCTTTTCTTGGTAACAAGTTCATTTGTGTGCTAAGAATAGGGCTTTGAGTTACGGAAATTCTCAGGCCAGATGCGGCCCCTGTGGGCCTTGCGTTTAACACCTGTGAACAGTGGCTTAGCTTTCGGGGTTGAACAAATAGGAATGTATGCCTTGATAGCAAAAAAGTTTTTGCCACATTTGTGTCACTTTACCCAATCAAGATTCCGTGTGTTTCAGTAAACAGACAAGGAGAAAACACTCAATTGCTTAATTGTCTAATTGTCTCTTCATTCCTTGCTGTCTCACTTGCTCGCTCTCTCTCTCTCTCTCCCTCTCTCTGTCTCTCTCTCTCCCCCCCTCTCTCTCTCTCCCTCTGACTCTCTACACCCCCCCCCCCCCCCCCCCCCCAAAGCATTAAATGCTGATATCATGAATATATTTATAGATTGGTGAGTAGAGTTAATAGACCCTGCAGGCACGTCTCTATAATTTATTTTCTCCCCCACCCTGTATTTCTGTAGCATGTTGCACTGTGACAAGAGAAATGAGCAGTTTTACAATGTTTTTACTCCGGCCAGAATTACACAAATTTTTATTTGCAAAAGCGATTGCACATCCTGTTTTGTTCCTTGATTTTGTTTTGGTTATGGAGCTTTCAGTCTTTCTTAATTGTTGTTTTTACCATTCCTGTACAGCCACAGAAAATTCTCATAGGGACAATATTTAAGTATTATCTTATCTCTTCTCATCTCATCTCATTTCATCTCTTGTCATCTTATCTTGTTCTAGCACATGTTATATTATCATATTTTATCTTATCCTATGTCTCATCTTATCTTATCGCATATTATTTTATCTATCATCTTATCTTCGCTTATAAATCTTGTCTTTTTTCTTTGTTGCAGATGTCGATGCCTAATGGATTTCATTTGGAACAACCAAGTCACGATCAGATTGCACTTTTTAGTAAAACATACTATTCGTCAAAAGTGGAAAAAACTTGTACAAAATCACATGTGATAGATCAGAGGGACAAACTCAGATTGGACAGGAATCACATTGGACACTAAGGCTGGTCGATGGAAGGTCAGTTGGATTCTATTGCTTTGATGTTTACGAGATACTTTATGGATACTGTGTAGGTCTTTACTCACCGGAGTTTCTACTTGGCTGGCCATGTAGGACAGTCGGGTCAGGAGGTTGTTTTTCATGTGAGCACTTCGCAAGTCCGTGCGAAGTCATGATCATGTCAGCTGCTGTGTTGTGAGTTAATTGAGTGTTCGGAGAGTCATTACAGTACATTTATCACTTACAATTGTAACCCTGCGGCCTTGAACTGACCTGAGTGCAATGTGTCTTTCCTGTCATGATTTAAAAATCAGTTTAGAGTTCTTTAGTGTTTATAGAAATGGACAGGAATCACATTAGACACTAAGGCTGGTCAATGGAAGGTCAGCTCAATTCTTGTGTATTTAATTGTTTTGAAATTTAAAGGATACTTTATGGTTTTTTATAAGTGTAACCTTCTTTCATAAAATAAATTGACCTAAGTGCAGCGTAGAATGTCTTTCCTGTCTCAATTTAAAAGTTTGTTTCTTAATTTTTTACTGAAATGTTTCACTTCTACAAAAAAAGTGCTCTCTGTTTACATTTATTTTTTTTTGAGGGTCAGGACGAGGGCTTTTACATTCACCTGGAATTTTCATGTGTTTAAGGGTCTTTTTAAATTTGCTTAATTTGTGAAATGTGTTCTACACAAGGTGTGTACTTTATATATAGATATACTTGATTTAATTTGTCCTGGCAGCCTTTAATGCTTTTCCTGCTTGTGGCTCATTTTGTATTGCTTCCTGACTGGTCACGAGCGTCTTATTCACCTCTTTACACTTTTCAACCTGTGTGAGAATCTTAGCCTCAGCAGTCCTGGACAATTATCTTTCTCATTACTAGTCTAAAGTGCAACTGGCAGTATGGATGAAGACTTTTTTCTTGTGCATGCAAAAGACCTGAGTTAGATTCCAGCATCTGGAAGTTATTTTGTGTAGTATCTCTGTCTGTCTACTGGGATGCTGTATCCCACTCAGCCAGGGTTGCCCTGATAAGTATGATTAGAGCAGTTCGACTCCTTTATGGTCTTGTGTCGAAAAACATTTGCAATATTTAACATCCAAGGCTTGGACATAGCCTTCTGGGGTATCTTCAAATGATAGCTTAATTTTCGAATGCATAAAGGCCACACGTAGGAGAAGTGTTATGGTACTTTGGTGAATCCATCCTGTCGAGTTCAGTTTCTTATCTGGTTGTTGATGTAGTTGTATTTTATTTTACTTTCAGAGGAAGAAAAGCAAGCTTCACAAGAGAACAACACCTCTCGTGAACCGGAGAATTTGCAACCAGCATCTAGCAGTGTTCAGTCTGTCCCTGTCTCAATCTCGAACTCAGAAAGCAAAGATTCCCCACCACCCCCTTTGAAACCCGTACCACCATATATTACCTCAGCTTGTACCGAAAGCACGCCCGCTTCTTCAAACTCACAGCAAAACCTCTCCACAGTTTTTTCTGGCGTGAGCTCAGATGCAACAGTCCCCCCTGCGAGTCAATTGACTTCTACAGCGCCAGCAACAGCACACACACAGCCCCCCACAGATTCTGTCTTTCCCCTAGAAGTCTCGGCACAGCCTCAACAGCCTTCAGTCTCCCCACGGACCCAACAGAACATCGCTTCTTCCGCCTCCCCTCGGAGCTTACGAACTGATTCCGCCGAAAGTTCAGAATTTTCTCCGTCACCTTTGAGCTCCCAAACCGGAAAACCAGGTTCAGATTATGTTTTGGATGGCCATAGAGACCTGCCTTCGGGCATTGAGGCACACAGGAGCTCAGAGTTGAGTCAAGGCTCTCCGTATCTTTTGCCTCAGACGTCAGGAGTTTTAGGATCATTATCACACACAACAGAGCTTAAAAGGGGCCGAGGAAGACCCCGGAAAGACGGCCTGAATCCAGTGCAAAGGAGACCCAGGTAGTGTGAGCTAGAAACCTTCTCTTGGTTGTATAGTTTAGTATTTCATCATGAGAACAAGTCCTTTTTTCTCTCTTTCTTTCTTTCTTCCTTATTCACAACTACTTTGATATTATTATATACTGAGGAGAGTTCTGTAAAAGCTACATTATTAACGCATAGCATATTGTTACTTGCAGCTTGGTGTGTATGCTATGATACTTTGGGTATTTCTGTAAACAGGAGGCAATTTTTCCCAACAATCTCTCACTATAAAATACCCTATGCTGGCAGTGAAAAACTGCAGCAGATTGGCCTCAGCCAAGGAAAACTCTGGGAACATGCTAATTTAGCCTATTGTTTTTTGGGTCAGCCTTATGTATCACACATCAATACAGGTAAGACAAATTGGGGTATGTACTGAAGAGTTTTTACCCCAATATTTTCAGTGACAGTCTAGTTTTTTTTAAAGAATAGCGTGGGTCATTAGCAAGTCCAAAACCTGCCGAACAGCACTGCAATTTTCTGGCTCTCTTTACAAATATTGGGATAGGCTACGAAACATAAAAATTTTAAATTTTAAACTCCCCAAATTTAGCAGCTTGTGAGAAGAGATTGATCTTGACATCGCAGGCATCCGTTAATGAATCAAGAGAAAAATGAAGCAGTTACGAGATGGCTGCTGTGTGGTTGTGGTTTACATGGTGTTTTGTTTTTGTTGAGTATTGCAATGTGAAGAATACTTTTGTCAAGTATTTAAAGAAGTATAGGATAATATTATTGGTTTATTGTTAGATGAAATAAGTTTAAATACTGCAGTGTCTTGTTATGAAAAAGATTCTTTGTGTCTTTTTTCAGTAAAACAGTTATCATTTTACTTTAAATTTCACTTTGCAACTGTGTGCTTCATGAAATCTGTTAATTTCGTCTCAGCACTCGTGGAATTGGCCGCGGACTAGGTAGGCCACTTGGACGACCTTTTGGCAGCCGTGGCCTCGGTAGGTCAAGTGGGAGGAGTCTAGGACGAGGCAGTCGAGGCGGTCGTCGAGGACGGCCTCCATTCCCTCATGCTGGACTGTCGTTAGTGGCTTCCCCTTCTTTAGCGTTGGATAGAGACTTGATCAGCGGACACCTCCACAGTCCGGTGGACCTGCCACCCACACCACCCATTCTTAAGCCGGACGTACTACCTCCATCGGGAATGGCAGAATTTCTGAGACAGTCTTCAGTGACTGCATCTACCCCCAGCGGAGATGCAGCAGGTAATATTTGTTTTAAAATTTGCGGTTGTTTGTGTTGAATTTTTTCTTTATTGCAGTTTACCTGTCTGTTGTAGTTGAAATAGATTGAATATGTGATGTATATGAAAAAATATTCTTGATTAGATAAAGAAATTAAGGGTTTTTTGTTTTTTTTGCTTTTCTTTTGTTTTTGTTTTCCTTTTTGTTGTCGTTTGTCATATATACCTTTTTATTGCTGAAGCCAAATGGTTGTGCCATGTGTGAAGAAATATTCTGAAAAGAATTGTTAAGTAAAATTTGGGTGTTTCATGTTTTTTATCTTAACTTTTTTGTTTTTGCTTGTTTCAGCTCCTGGTCCTTCAGAATCTCCTGTCCCAGGAACACCTTCATCAATGTCAGAGCCAGCAACAACCCCTGAAATCATAAGGTGTGTACCTATTGCTCATTTGGTTTCTGATATGGCATTGTCTTGTGTAAAAGCTAGTCTGCGTTTGCACAATACATTCTCGATTTTGGTGGGAGGGGGGGAGGGAGGAATGTGTAGAGTATTTCAGCTCCAGACTGAAAGGCTCAGTGCCAGTACCTCGTGTTTTTAGTCTTCTAAATTGTTTTCATAATTGTTTTGAGATCTGTGCTGTTACATTCGGTTGTCCCTTGACCAAATGTTAATGTTGTCCCTAGTCCTAAGAAAATTGTTGATGCTTTTCCTGTTTCAGCCCTGGTCACCTGTGTTCTTTATGCAACTGTGGGGAGAGAAGTTTGCTGGGACAGGGGGAGACGTGGCGTTTTGAGCCCAGCCCGGGCTTCGATGTGTTCAGTCTGCCGGAGCCGAAAGTTTCGCGCGGTACTGACGATGTGGATACCAGCGGAGACAACAAAGGTCCTCAGCCCACGACGTGGAGACGATCGAGGGGACCTATGAAGTCTGGCAGGTTAGATCATGAGCTGGTGACTTGTTGAAAAAAAGTTTGAACTTGGTGGCTATATGTTTGAAATGAACAATTAATATGTTATTTTTGGTATAAGCACAGTTATCGATCTATATGAAGTTGGTGGTTAGAGGACGCCATGAAAAACCATACATTTTTTTCAAAATGTATTAATTTTTTTTCCTGCACTAGGTGACTGTTATTACATCTATTTGCTTCAATGTGTTAAGCATGGGAAATGATCCACATTGTGTCAGCAGATATGTAGAACATTAATAGTCTATCAAATGAGAGGCCTCATCTTTATAATGTGGTCGAAATGTTAACATTTTGTTGTTGTTGCAAACTGCAGAGAACGCAGTCGCTCCCCTCGGCAATCTGGAGAAGAGGATCCACTCTGTGCCCACGACGATGAGTTGGCCATGGTTGGACTCCCGGATGATGCAGATATACCCCAACTTTTTGAGCCTACAGGTAACTTTACTCTGTACTTGTTTGATGCTCACAACTGTAAGGTCGTTGGTTCGAATCCCGTCAGGGGCCCGATGTTGTGTCCTTGAGAAAGGCACTTTACACAAATTTTCCTCACTTCTCCCAGGTGGGAATGGGTACTCAGCTACAGACAGCGAAATATCTTGTCAATTTCTTAGTCTTTGAGCACTTGATAGCTTCTTTCACTGTATGCTTCCCGGGAAGCTGAGAATGTTTCAGAGTGTTCTATGGTCTGCTGTTGTAATAATAGACTGTAAAGCGCATAAAACTTCCTGTTGAGCGGGGGTATGCACTATACAAATGCTATTTATTATTATTAACACTACTAAAAGTTTTAAGCAATTGTGATCGACAATAGAAAGAAATGTTCTTTTTTCACCTCTAAACATTGATGTTTCATGGGTCTCAATATTCCGCTATTTAGCGGATTTCCGCTACCGCTATTTCCTCCGCTAAACTCCGCTACCGCGACAGCGGGTCAATCAGAAAGAGAGTTGCTGGGAGCAGAGTGACTGCCAGGCCTCGGGAATTAGAAAAAAAATCGCCGAGACGCGGGAAAATACATATAAGATCTCGAATATTATTTGAAAACCAAATTCGTAACGATAACGTCTTTAAGTTCATTTTTGATGGTCGCGATTGTGATATTAATTGGGCTTTTCCCGGTCTGAGAGTATGTTTCACGCGAACAGGCGGCTATGGCGGCAAGTGGAATTGTACATCGAGGCTGGACTGGAAAATCAAGATCTCAGAAATTTGTCTGTAAAAGTCTGAATACGCAACATTTGTAACAAGCAAGTTCTGCGTTACAAACGTGGTGCTGCCTTGAAAATAATGTTCGTCATTGTGCTGTCGCTTGTGGGGGCAAAAAAAAAAAAAAAAAGAAAAGAAAAGAAAGTTATACAAGCATCTTGTCGGGCTCGTCATTGTGACCGGTCAATGATCCTGTCCGCGTTCTGAGCGCTGTGAAGTACAGGACTCCGGAATGGGGGAGATTATTGATTTTAAAAAAAAGATACACTAGGGGATGGGGGGGGGAGGGGGGGGGGGGGGGGACTGGACGCAACACAAAGAACAAAAAAGAAAAGAAATTGGAAGCAAATTTTAATACTTAGAATTTTGATTACTACTACATCTACAGCTCTCTGCAAAGTGAAGTGCGTGTTTGTGCATGTTTGTGCATGCCTTGTGTATAATCGGGATCCGTCATAACTACTTGTAAGCGTGTTAATGAACTTAGGGCAGGGGCCTAATTTTAAGTGTTCGCGTTTCATTGGATGGGTGACAGTAAATTATGTCTGTATGTTTTAGCTTTTTGTTCAAGATTCGCAGATTTTCAGTGTCACTGCATCTTGCCCTCCCACAGTTCTTACACCTCTCACACTGAATAGGTTTACTTGAGCTATTCAAGTTATTACTCTACTTTGAGTCTGAGCATTCATTTTGTCTTTCACGTTTATTATATGAATCATTACACCCTGACTGGTTCATGACAGTCGATATTCTGGTTCTAGGCCTTTTCCCAGGCTCAAAACAAGATTCATTTTTATATAGTTTATATATGCAGGCGAATGTGATGAGGGTAAAATATAAATAAGTCGCACAAGACCACAGTGCGCCTCCACTTTCTGTCGTAATCAAGATTGTAAATATTTGGTAAGTGACTCTTACTTGAAATTATCTTCCAAACCCTCAAACTGGTATGAAATAACCTTCCTTTGATAAATTGATGGTTTTTATTTCAACATTCTAGGGTCCAACAGTATAATAATAGTGGGGGTCTCGCGAAAATGGGCTTCTGTCGCGATCATGCGGAAAGTTCCTCCTTTTTAGAAATTCTGAGTTGAGACCCATGTGTTTATACATACACAATTAGAGTGGGACGTCGACGATATGATGTGCGGGTGGCTGGTGGGTGCCCTAGTGCGGTTTGCTCCTTCTTTCCCCATCACCCATCTATTTTCCTTATCTCTCGTCCTTTTTTGTGTTTGTTACTCTCTTGTAATACTTCTAATCTTCGGCACTTATATGACCGTATTGTGTTGCTGTAAAACTCTTACTTAAACCAAATGATTTTTTTTATGTTTTCCTGGTGATGTGTGGAGAGGAACAACATTTTTGTTGTTGATACCTTTAGGTTATGCATGGGCTGAAAATTTGTAAAAAATTATTCATTACCCTGTAAATTTCTTTTTGGGGTACTTTTCAGGTCATCTATGGGCTGAAAAATATGAAAATTTGTAAAAAATTATTCATTCCCCAGTCTATATCTTTTTGGTACTTTTCAGGTCATGTGTGGGTCCATCACTGCTGTGCCTTGTGGTCGGAGGGCGTGACGGTGGGAGAAACCCAGCAGCTGGAAGATGTGGACAAGGCTGTGTACAGCGCTCTCTTCAATGTACGATAAGATAAGATAATTTCTTTATTGTCCCAGAGGGACATGTACGTCGGCGCTCCGCTACCTCAGAATTGCCAAATTCTATCTACTCTATCTACTCGGTATCTAGTTTTGAGAAATTTGACATAAAAAATTTTGAGTATCTCACACCAGGTCAAACTTATTCAAATGCAGTTCTTTGAATATGTTGATAGCAACTCTTAATAATCTTATGATTTTGATAAAGCAGATAGCGTGTTTGGTTTCTGACCTCATGGTCATCGTAACTCAAAATGGCCGAAAATGTCCGATAGAACTTTGTAATTGTACGTTAGTGACTTTCCTCTCGTTTGTCTTGGGGTGCCCTCATGTGATGGGTTGGTGGGGAGGGGATGTCTCTGACTGGATTCTTTGGTATCTTTTCTTTTTTGGCCCCCCAAAAAACACTTAATTTATTTATAGGGACTTCAGAATTAGTAGTTTGATGTCCCAGTTCATACCGTGTAATTCTTATTTCACTAATGACGGCAGCTTTGGCATTGAATACATGTTTCCTTTTTCAGAGATGCTCCCATTGTCGAAAGTTTGGTGCCTCCCTCGTATGTTGTATACCAGAATGTGGGAAGAAATTTCATTTCCCTTGTGCATCGGCTGGTGGATGTTATCAGGTATGTGTTTTGTTTTTGTTCAATATAAATTGCAATAATGACTGTAGATGTTTATATGATCAGTCTATCTTTTACGTCCTACCCTCTTCTAAATGTTGCTTAAGTTTCCTTTTACCCTTATTACCTGGCTGAATTGGCTGGGATTTCTTTGCGGCTGGTATTTTCCTCTTTTTCAATCTGCTTAACAGGGACTTCCATCTCCTGAAAAAATAACTTGTCATTTTAACCGGCGAAATATTTTATAGTCTACGTTAAAATGTCGTAAATATTTTTCCCTTATGCAGTTGCGAGCGCCGTAAAACTCTTCCTAAACTAAAAAAGATTTTTCAAGCTACACTATTCTATGCTTAAAACTTAAGAGTAACGTTGATTCTCCCCCCTTGCTGTCTTACTGACTTGTAACAGAGTACTGACTGATCAGTTAAGCTTATTGATGTGGTTTCTCTCTGCCCAGGATATGAAGACATTGTCTCTGCTGTGCCCGGATCACATAGACCAAGTGGAGAACTTGGGTATGTACAAAGGTGAAGGGTGGAAAGAAAAAAGGCTTTACCCCCCCACACACTTTTATTTATTTCGTAGAGAAAATTTGGGTGACAACAGCAAGTCCAATACATACAGCCTATGATTTTACCTGATTTTATCCACTTTACATAATACTCTTATGTTACATCTAAACTGTCTTACAGACATGCCATTGCTGGTTCCCTGTTTCTTAGCTGGGATTATCATAGCTTGTTGAGGGACACACCCTAGTGATCACCCGTCTAAAGGCTGATATCATGTACTGATACTTAATTTTGTTGTCAGCTTGAGATTACTCTAACCAGTCGGCCACAGCCTCTGGTAACGTGAGTTAACGCTTTGCAGTCACTTGGCGCAATAATGCGCTGGTGAAAATAATCCGTTCCAGTCACTTGGAGCACTTTTGCGCAAGGCCCGAGAAGTCCGTTGCAGTCGCTCTCCTGGCTGGGGGACCAGATGAGGCATTTTGTACTACTGGCTGTGTGACTGCAAAGTGTTACTTGCAGGACATTATAATTTTAGTACTCTGACGTGGCTATTTTCTGGATATTCTTTACAGATAGACATAAATAACTTACCATGATGATGTAGTGATATTCTTTTGTTTTACTGTCTGTGAGAGTGTGTTATGAAAATGTGAAATTATTTCACTTTGCTTTGAGTTGCCAGCCTAAACCAATTGCACAATATTGCATGAAAATATTGTTCGTGATTGTAAATCAGTCCAAATATGAAGTATTAATTTTAAACTAGGAAATGATAATAATGAAGACAAGAGAAAAAAGAAAAGGGTCGAATATTCCGCATTTGTAAAAGGGTTTAGGTGGGGAAAAAAATCCCAACACTTCACAGGGATGTTATAATGTTCTTGTAATTTACTCGAGCGATACAATGAGATTTGTGCTGGGTATTACCAGGTGCAATAGAAACTTTGATAAATTTTGGTATCACTTGCTAAGGCAGCACATTATAAAGATAAACAAGTTGATAAGAAATGCATCAAGAACAATTGGTAGAGACCTAAGTAACTTTGAATATCTGCACAAGACAAACGTTCTAAAAAGGTGGAAATAATGCTTAGTGACCATAGCCACTCACTGACTTCGGAATTTCAACTATCGACCCGCAGTAAATGATACATTTCCAAAAAAGCAAGAACAGACAGATATAGAAATTCATTTGTACCAACTGCAGTGAGGTTACTGAACACACAGTGCTACAAATGAAACAGAGAGAGAGAGAGAGAGCGAGAGAGAGAGAGCGAGAGAGAGAGAGCGAGAGAGAGAGAGAGCGAGAGAGAGAGAGAGAGAGAGAGCGAGAGAGAGAGAGCGAGAGAGAGAGAGCGAGAGAGAGAGAGAGAGAGAGCGAGAGAGAGAGAGAGAGAGAGAGAGAGAGAGATATTTTTTGGAGCGGGTTGTCCCAGCCCGTGAGGCATGTATTTACTTGGCCTAATGTCCTGTCTTGTGCGTTTGCATGAGTGCACCTTTAAGTCTAACTTTTGTAACGTCTTCTGCCATTGTTAACGACCAAGACAAATTTCTCCCTGCGAGATGAATAAATATTGTTATTGTCATTGTCATTGTGTTACTGTGTGTCAAGAGTCCTCTCTCTCTCGGTCTCCAGCAGAAAGCATAGGCAGTGGGGCTTGCTGCATCCAGTGTGGACAGATGGGCAACATCAGGGAGCAGCTCTTCTGTACCAGCTGCGGTCATCATTACCATGGCAACTGTTTACTGCCTCCTGTGGATATGAAGCCCATAGTGAGGGCGGGATGGCAGTGTCCCAACTGTAAGATTTGCCAAAAGTGCCGGTGAGTTCAGAGAGCTTTTTTTTTTTGTGTGTGTGTAGTGGTCACGTGTTGTCTGCTGGTTGAAAGAATAGTTTTTCTTTGTATGTCTGTTTTTGTTCTGGGGATCGGTGAGGGGTTCTGTATCATTTCTTCTTTTGAGCCCAATTAGGCTGTTTATTTTTTTATTTTGCTCCTGTTTTTCACTTTTTGTGTCATGTGACAACAGTGGTTGGATCAACCAATTTGTGTTGTATTTTTGCAAAATGTACACCATAGTAGTAATCTATTGACTTTTGTATTTTGTCAAAGTGAGTAGGGGAAAACTTTTTGTTTGAAAGGCTGTAAAGAGAAACAGCTTTGAAATTAAGTTTTTGCTCTGATTATCTTTCACGCATAGTGGGTGGAATAAGTTGGCAGTATACAAATGATAGAAGTTAATGTTCCAAGGGTAAGAAGGGTGTTCTGTTTTTTGTTTTCTTGAAATGATGCGAACAATACTGTTGAAACTATTTCTTCTATTCATGAACTGCATTCTTTTTCTTCTTCTAGCACTGCCAGTGATGAAAGCAAAGTGTTAGTTTGTGACATTTGTGATAAAGGATACCACACCTTCTGTCTGAAGCCAGCCATGACCACCATACCTAAGAATGGATGGAAATGCAAGGTGAGACCCATTGCTTTTTCTGGTGTTTTTCTGTTTGGTGCACACTGTGTGAGAGTTGAGAGCAAGTGGATACTATGTGAAAAATAGCTTTTTTCAACCCTATCCGTACGCCTTGGGGTCATTTTGTACCCCCAGGGTTGTATTCTTCACATTTTAGAATACTTCTAGAACGAATATCTCTTTGAAACTTTCAGTATTTCTCAAAAAAATCCTTTTGACAGACTGCTATGCAAAGCGTACGGATCGGATTAACGAGAAAATTTCCTCTTTGGAATATTGTGGCACACCCACGTCGTATGGATACGATAGTAAAACACGACGTACGGATAGGGTTAAATAAGTTAAAATGTATTGTACCTTGATGTGTCCAAATATTCATTTGAGAATGTTTTTTGGTATTTTGATCATAATAAAAAAGTCCCAGAGAAAGATTGTTTCTCAAAACCTCACAAAATAAACAAATATGGATGCCACGAGGACTATTATTGTGTAATGAAAGGTTGCTTGGGGATTCGTTTTGTTTCAAGTTTCTATTTCACCTTCAGAACATATCTCTGATAAAAACCTTTCTGTTTGCATGATCTTCTTTTGCATTATTCCTTTTTGGTTGCATGCGCTGCTGTCACCTTATGCAGATTGTGTTCTCGCTTTTGTACAGAGAGCAAAATAGTGAAAAAAATCCACATAAGATGTGCAATTTGGCATTGGGTTTTTGAAGAAGCGATTTTCTTTGCAGAGTGAACTATCTTGTAGTATATCTGTTAAAGAGGTTGACGATGATCACATTAAAATTGGTGATGCAAAAATTTTATTTTCCAGAAAAGTTAAGAATCTTGGCATCTATTTTGATTCTAGTTTGTCAATGTCGGCTGAGGTAAATCATCTGATCAGCTGCATGTATTTAGAAATAAGAAAAATTAGTAAAATACGTCATCTGATCAATACCAAGTATACTGCTTTACTAGTAACTAGCTTAATTTTATCAAAACTCAATTATTGTAACTCCTTGTTATCAGGAATATCACTGGAGAAAGTTAAAAGACTTCAAACTGTCCAAAACAATGCAGCACGTTTAGTTTTACGGAAAAGAAAGCGAGACTCTGCTAAACCTCTTTTACGAACTTTGCATTGGCTTCCTGTTGAGAAAAGGATTGTGTACAAGTTGGCCACCATATGTCACAAATGTTTGAATGATAATGCACCATCATATTTATCAAATCTGTTAAGACTGTACATTCCAACTCGCAGTTTAAGATCATCAGCTGACAAAAAGAAATTTATTTTACCATCTATGAAACTTAAAACAATGGGTGAAAGGGCATTTGAATACCAAGGCCCCAAGATCTGGAATGCTTTACCAAGTACGTTGAGAGAAATCAAATCTTTTGATTCATTCAAATGTCAGCTGAAGTCGTTTCTGTTTTTAAATTAATAAGATGAATATTTGGAATAATTTTCTTTAGTCAGAACACAACGTTTCATGTTACTGTTGTATGTTGTACTGTATTGTAAAGCGCTCAGAGCCTGTGTACTTTATTCGGGGTTGAGCGCTATATAAATGTCATTTATTATTATTATTATTATTATAATGTCAGTTCAGTGTCCCTGAACATTGTTTGTGTGATGTTCTTTGATTTTGACACGTAATATGGCTTTCCTAATATTTTTTTAAAATGACACCTACAGAACTGCCGCATATGCACCGACTGTGGTTCGAGAACCCCGGGCAGCGGGCCGTCGTCTCGGTGGCACCTGAACTACTGCGTGTGTGACTCGTGCTACCAGCAGCGCAACAAGGGGCTGTGCTGCCCCCTCTGTGGGAAGGCCTACAGGCACTTCCACAACAAGACCATGTTGCCCTGTATGATCTGTAAAAAGTGAGTTGCTTTATGATTGGTATTGATTGATTGATTTTTTCTCTACCTTGTTTGTTTTAAAAAGGAGTATTATAATGACCTGGATCAGGGAAGGGTATGAGTAGTCTTGTTATCTCACCAACAGGGGAGGAGGGGGGTGGTAGCGGTGGCGGGGCTTCTCCAGGATTGGTTCTAGCTTTGCGCCACATGCATTTTTTTCATCAGGAGTACTTTGTTGCCTGTCATGTATTTTTCCTGCTGATTTGTTTGCAATGGGTCTGGTCTAGAGAAAAATAAACCAAATAACCCTCTCCAAGACTACACTGTTTGGAACAGTGTGGGGGACTTATTTCAAAATGACCTTGTCTGTAGAAGGGAGGCGGATGCAAAAAAAAAAAAAAAAGAGATGTCAGGGGGATAGGATATGATTATTTTTCTATCGAAAAACTTCTGTTTTGCTTTCTCCTTCACACTTGTCCATTTTGCCGTTCGTTTGACAAAATTTTGACATGGTGTCCTTTTTACTTGTATCCTGACTTTGACATGGGCGATTTACTCTTCTGTAATTGTTTTCCCTTTTATGGTGGCACTAGTAGGTCCTGTTTCTTTACTCTCTGCCTCTTCTTTCTGTCTATTGGTAGTGCTCTTTTTTTATTATGAAGTGGTGTTGATGTGTTTCTCTTTACCCAAACTGAATAAACTATTTTTTTTCTCATTGAGGTGCATGTTTTGGTCTGTCAACTGTATCGTTTCCGTCTCTTCTTTTCAGATTTGTGCACATGGAGTGCGATCCCTCGATTAACCCAAACATAATAAGCAAAGTGAAGGAGGGCCTTCCTCAGGATTACATTTGTACTGTGTGTCGAGAGACGGGTCCAGAAGCGATGGTGAGTTCTTGCTTTGTTGTGCTGTTTAACAACTAGTAGATGGGTGATTGGCGGGTGCTCTTGTAGGGTTTGCTTTTTACTTCCTATCAAAGGTCTATCTTCTTTTTCTCCCCTCTTTCTTTTTTGTGTTTGTTACTCTCTTGAAACTCCTCTAATCGTAGGCACTTTTATGACCTTATTGTATTGCAAGTGCCGTAAAACACTTACTAAAACTAAACAACAACTGGTAAATGTGAAGTTTTAGTGTGCTGAATGTTCATACGTTGGACAGTGGGAGATGATGCGTATGATTAGTATTTTTTTCTCAGTAGTGACTGGTTTCCATATTTGTTTGCTAAATGCTTTTAATCTCAATGTCGAAAATGTGTTCATCTTCCTTTTCACTGCGAGGGGGGGGGGGCTGTTGTTGCTAGTGGATTCTGGTTCGATAATTTTGCTTTCCTAATTGTTTCGAGTGAAATTGTTTTTTAAATTTATTTTTAAAAATATTTTTTTTAAAAAGTAGCTATAATGTATAAAACAACTGGCACCACTACCACTCCATGAGTATGTATCCTTCATTGTGTCTTTGTGCTTTCCTTTAATCCTGCAAAACAGAACACCTTAATTAAAGCCAAGCCTTGACCTCAGCTTCTTCTGTTCCGTAGGTGGTTAGAGGGTGTCACTAGTAGGTCTTACTTTTTTTTTTCTCTCAGCTGTTTCTGTCTTCTTTCTTTTCACCTGCTGTAAATGGCCGTTATTGAGTTGATATCCTTCTCTTTATTCAACTTTGCACTCCTTGCCGCTGTCTGACCATCAGAGGTCAGAGAGCCTTTCCCTTGGGTGCTAGATAAAAAAACCTGCAGACCTTGACGGCACGTCTGATACTGAGACTGCTGCACAATTTGCAGGGACATTGACTTAAGGAAAAAATATATAATGCCACATAAGTTGGTCTGGAAAATTTAAGAGGTTATTGAAGGTGATGCTGGTTAACCATGCTTTTTTTGTCTTCTTTTATTCTTGTCTATTGCGCTTTCTTTTCTCTGACTCTTTTTTTAATGTTCTTTTGATTATTTTTTAGCAGAATGAAATTGTGAAAAAACTTACTACTTGTAAAGAAACTGTATCTTTATATTTTTATATTTTCTTTGTTGTCATATTCTGTCGTGAGCATTGCGCGACCCCAGTGCTTTCTTGTCGTATTTCCCTTTTCAATAACTGGGAAAACAGTTCATAGCAAAGAGTGAGCTTAGGAAGATGTCACATTTTCACTGATAAAAAAATGGAGATATGATAAGAAAGCACAGAGGTTGCGCGCGATTGGTTTCTGTTCCAAACCTTGGGTCATTGTTTCCCTATTCTTTGAAAAGTGTTAGTTCTTCGTTGTCCTGTTCTGTCAAAAACGTAAGTCCTATCAAACATCTATCCATCGTCCTTTCTTTCTTTCTTTCTTTCTGTATGTTACTCTCAAGTAACACTTCAAATCTTTGGCACTTACATGGCCAATTTTTATTGCAAGAGCTGTAAGACTCTTCCTTTAAAAAAATTTATAATTTAAAAATAATATGGAACTGGCTCATTTGTCTCATGGTTGATTGTGTTGTGTTTCAGATGGAGCTGGACCAACACTTGTCGTCGCTGCAGCACACAGTGTCTGAGGAGTCTATGGAGAGCTTCCTAGGTCAGTGCAGTCGGTCTTTACTACCTCTTTATTTTTCACCTCGCTTAGCTCGTGAAGAAGTCTTGCTGTTGTTGATTTGTTAACTTGCTTGATGATTTTTGTCAAGAATGGGCCAATGGTTTTAAAATCAGAGAATCTGTTTTTGTTAAGAATGGGCCTATGGTTTTAGAATCAGAGAATCTGTTTATTTGTGTTTACCCCCCCCCCCCCCCCTCTCCCTCTCTCTCTCTCTCTCTCTCTCTCTCTCTCTCTCTCTCTCTCTCTCTCTCTCTCTCTCTCTCTTAAACTGTTCTCTCTCTCTCTCTCTCTCTCTCTCTCTCTCCCTCCCTCCCTCCCTCCCTCTTGTAACGCCGTATCACCCTTGCCACGACCTCCACAGACGATGTCGTGTCCAAAGAAGACCCGATGTTGACGGACGCTGCCATCTCCGTGGGCAGTAGCAGCGTGGGGCGGGGAGGGGCGGGGCTCACCACCTCCAGCTCCCAGGAGTCCCTCTACAACTGTGATGACTCAAGCTCCAGCATGGACATAGACACTGCTGAAAAGGTAACTATGGTTTGAGAAAAGTCTAAAAATAGATTTCAACTGCTTAAAAGATAGCCACAGTTTAAGAAATTGAGAAGTCTAAAAACAGATTTCGACTACTGAAAAGGTAGCTTAGCTCAGGACTGAAACTTGCACCTCCCCTCGACATCCTAAGGATACCAGAGGAAGGAAAAAGTAAAAGTGAAAGGTAGCTACAATTTGAGAAAAGTCTAAAAAAAAAGATTTTGACTGCTGAACAGGTAGCCACCGTTTATCAGTGGAGTCATAATTTATAATTTTAAGTTCTACAGCGCTTATTGCCTCCTAGGGAGTAGTTGCTATATAAATTCTCACTATCATTATTATTATTATGATTACTATGATTGTTATTATTATTTTCTTAAATATCTGAACAATTGCTTTTGCCCATGACTAAGTTCATAAAAAATTCAGTGGTGGTTCTGTTGGTTTTTGGTTCTTGAAAACATATTCTGTCATTTTTTGAAAAATTTCTAATCACGCACTCCTTGCCGCTGTCTGACCATCAGAGGTCAGAGAGCCTTTCCCTTGGGTGCAAAAGAAAAAAATCTGCAGACCTTGATGGCACGTCTGATACTGAGACTGCTGCACAATTTGCAGGGACATGAAAATTAAGAAAGAATTAGAATTTATACCTGACCACTAGGTAGTGACTGTTGTTATTTGATTTGACTGTTCTCAGTCTTTGATATTGATATGTGTACATACCTTTCGTAATTGGTCCTTAGGTCAGGTAGTTTTTAACGTATTTTCTGGTTTTATCTGTTTGTCCTTTTTATTCGTTGTTGATATTATCTATTGTGGTGCCTGCGTGACTATACTGTGTCAGCAGTGGGTGAGGAGTTCAGGGTTTTAACTTTCAATTTTTGTATTTTTCAGGGAATGATTTCCCCAAGTTCCAGACGTGACTCATTTGAGTTTGGAAAGAAAGGAAAGCATAAGGTTTGTACAGCCTTAAAAGAACGTTTGATTAAATCATACAATATACCTTACAGTAAATCGCTCATTAAGTCATGAAATTAATCGCACGGCAAATGATGCAACACATGAATGAATTGATTGCACAGTGACATTTCAAACTGATACCAGTCTTTGCTCTGTGGATCATTTTACGTGGCTGGTCATTGTCTAATATGATGGCCTTTACTGTGTGATTGACCAAAGAAGAAAAGAAAATTGAAATGAAGTGTCTTATTTTACTGAAAGTGAAGTGCTGTAGGAAAAATTCCTCTTTTAATCGACATGTTTGGTTTTTCATTATCTATGTAGAATATAATTGTTCGCTTTCCTCGTATGTTGGTTGTTTTTTTTAACAAAAGATTTTTTTGGGGTTTAAATTTTCATCTTACGCTGTTTGGATGGTAATATTGTTTATGGCTGTTGGTGGGGTAGGTGCGAAGGGACAGTATCGTCAGTTGTTTGGGTTCTTAGTATCATGAGGGGTGGGGACGCCGAAAGGCCCCACTTCTCTTTCATGCTGTCATGTTTGTCTGTGTACTATGTTTTTCCCGCGGCACTAAATGGCTGTTATTTAGTTGATGTGCCTTTCTTTATTCCAACTAAATAGGACTGCAGGAAGCTGAACCTATACAGGAGAAAAGTTTGAGCAGGTAGTAGAGAAATTTCCTGTGTTTATTAAATAAAAATAGATTGGTATTCATTTGCTTATTTATTCCTCAGAGTCGACATTCTCATTCTCAATCTGAGAAATATCACCATCACCATCACCACCACCATCACCACCATCATCAGCAACAGCAGCAGCAGAGCCAGCTACAGCAGCTCTCTCAAGTGTCGTCACTACAACAGCAGCCATCTCAGCAGCAGCAGCTGTCGTTGTCGTCGTCATCATCATCGGGTCACCAGAGCCTTGGCGAGAAGAGACGAGGGCCCAAGATCAAAGTGAAGATTGGGGGTCAGGTGGTGGGCATTGCCTCCATGGACAGAACCAGTGTACGTTGATCGTCTTGTTGTTGATATTTATAGGTTTTCCCTGTGGTTGTTATTCATAACATACTGACATGAAAATAATTTCTAATGAAATAGTAGAATGCCACTATGTCCTTTTTATTAGTCCATGAAGGAAAGTTTGGGTCACAATGGCAACACATTACATATGCATGTGCAGTTATTCCTTGACATCACACAATACACACTGGCCCACCTATACAATTTTACTGATGCGCAATTCCTGGTGGATGCAGTTCCATGCCCTGTATTTTTAAGGAGGACTATGGTGTCTTGTTGAAGGACAACCTTGTGATCTCTTACAAACACATAAAATGCTAGTTTTCATTTCAATGAGCTTATAAATAAAATCGACATAATTTAGATCATTTAGGAGACGGGCTTCTGACTCTACCTGTCGGAGCCAACCTGGGCCGAGAGGGATACAAGATCCTAGCAGAAAGACTGAGATACCTGGTAAAATTCTCCTGACTCGGGGGTCTTCTAAGTGCGACAGTGCTGTGCTAACCGCTATACCACTGAAGCCGTTGAGCTTGTCTTTACACATACGCAAAGTGAAAGATACTTTACTTTTATCCGCCCTTTTGGGTGTCGTGGGAAGAAAGAGACGTCTCTCTGCCACCAGCTAGAGAGCTTGGGTCAGGGGGGTGCCATGAGTTGTTAGTGTTTTCCTGACTCCATCTATCCAGGTCTTTCTCGGTCGCCCTCAAACATTGCTGCCATTGAATTTTTTTATGTAGGCACGTTGTGCTGGATGGTGTGTTGGTAATCGCACGAGCTGTCCGAACCATTTGATTCTTTGGTGTTGGATGTGAGTGAAAGACAATTGATGAACAAATAGAAATTTACTGTGGAAATTCTCTCCTTGTTTTTCCAGCCGACCAGCAGCACTCCACAGGCGCTGTTCTCCTCTGCCTCATCACCCGCGTACTCCACCTCCACCGTGGACGCTCTGATGGAGGAGAAGGACAGAGAGAAAGAGAAGGAGAAAGAAGAAGAGGATGATGACGGAGACGACCACCCGTCAACTCTCATTCTGGCGGAGTCGGCCGATATGTTTATTATGGACCAGGTACGTCGTGGTTGGTTGTGGTTTCTCTTCCCCGAGAGAAGAATGGGTGGGTGGTTGGCGGGTGCTCTCGTGTGGTTCACTCCTTCTGTCTTATCAGACATCTATTGTTCCTATCTAGTCTACTCCTTTTTTGCTAGTTTGCTCTGACTTTCCATAGAATTATTTGAACTGAAATGCGTCAGATAAGTGCAGTCTATTATTAGTATTATTATTATTGTTGTGATTTCTTGTTTGCCGCAGGACTTATGCAAAGCTTGTGGCTCTTTTGGCAAGAACGAAGAGGAGAGCAAGATGATCGTCTGTACACAGTGTGGCCAGTGTTATCACCCTTACTGCGTCTCTGTCACGGTGAGTAGAGATCACCATTGTTGGTTTATGCTTTTCTTGATTTGTGAACTACTGTTGGAAGTTGTTCAAGAAGGCCACCTCACCAATTGTCGAGGAGAAAAGGGGTTGTTCTTAACAGATGGATGTCTTAGACAGTTAAAATAATATAGAAGAAACGCAGGGGCGAGTATGGGAAGTAGTCTTTTGTGCAGGTGATTGTCTTGGACAGGTGGGAATTCAAGCAGGTTCAATTGTTGGGTGGGTTTTCATCTGTAAGTTTGACAGTACTTGGCAAATCTGAATAATTCCATCTTGTGCATTCCTACGTCTATCCTCCTCCCGTCACAAAATCACACACCCACATACCCACTTTCAAACACTTATGATTATTCTCTTTTATAATTCAATCAACTCTCCCCTCACCCCCTTTTGAGTGACTTCAATATTTCTGGAATACAGAGGTTTTAAAATAGTCACGCTTTAGTAGATGTTCGTGTGATACATAGATTGCCATGTTTGGCCTGACGCTTTAGTAGATGTTCGTGTGATACATAGATTGCCATGTTTGGCCTGACGCTGTAGTAGATGTTCGTGTGATACATAGATTGCCATGTTTGGCCTGACGCTTTAGTAGATGTTCGTGTGATACATAGATTGCCATGTTTGGCCTGACGCTGTAGTAGATGTTCGTGTGATACATAGATTGCCATGTTTGGCCTGAAACTTGTAAGATACTTTCCAGCACGAGTAGTGTGTCCCGTTGGCCGAGTGCTGTGTTTTTCTGTGGAATTTTCTAGTATTATTTTCATACCTGGTTTAAAAAAAAAATGATAGGCCATTTCTGTGGCTGGTCTATCTTTTAAAGTGGGTTTTTTGTTGTTGTTGTTGCAATTAAAGAAGTGAATGTTCCAGTTAATGAGTAGTTTCTTTGTGATTCTGGTCCTGATGAAGCACTCCTTGCCGCTTGTCTGACCATTAGAGGTCAGAGAGCCTTTCCCTTGGGTGCAAAATAAAAAGTCTGCAGACCTTGACGGCACGTCTGATACTGAGACTGCTGCACAATTTGCAGGGACATTTGTCTCTTAGCTTAGAGGAAACCTGTTGCAGTCACTATTCTCGTGGGTGATGTTCTCTAAGTAAAAGAGCAAATTCTTTGATATAATTACTTTGGTCCGATTTTTTCTGATTGAGTACTGTACTGCACTGTGGTTCGTCTGTTTTTTGTTTTTTTTTTCCTTATGGTGTGGTTCTGCTTGTTGATAATGTTTCTGTTTTCAGAAATGTGTGCTTGTGGGTAGTTGGAGGGTGCCACTGGTAGTTCCTACTTTCTTTCTGGTTGTTTTCGTCTCTCTGTCTATTTTGCAGGCCCTAAATGACATGTATTGTATCGGTGTGTGTCTCTAAAACGTAATGAGTTCCTGACTTCCTCATGCCCGGAGGACAATAATTTTTTCATCATCTGTGCTGCAGCCGCCATTTTGGTCTGCAAATGCAATCAATTTTGTTTGTTTCTTGGAAAAAGTGAATGTTATATGGCACTCCTTGCCGCTGTCTGACCATCAGAGGTCAGAGAGCCTTTCCCTTGGGTGCTAGATGAAAAACCTGCAGACCTTGACGGCACGTCTGACACTGAGACTGCTGCACAATTTGCAGGGACATTTGTCTGTTAGCTTTGAGGAAATCTATTTGAGTCTGCTGACCGTGTCACTTTGTTCATTTGGGTTTTGTTGTAAAAAAAACTATTAAACTCTTCGAACAAATTAGTTTAGATCTTTTCTAATCTGAATATTATTTCAATTGTGTACAGGCCCTGCCCTGTTGCATGTTTTTAGTTTTTTGCTCAATGGTGTGGTTATTGTTGTTTCTGTCTTTCTGTCTTACCTTTTCCCCTGCACAAAATGGCACTATGTCAGTGTGTTTCTCTTGTCTTGATCAAGAACTTAACAGATTGCCTGATTTCATTTTGATCACATAGGCCCTTGGGTTTTGAGAGAGCTTTGGTGTTGGGGCTGGTTTGTTTAGAAGATGCAAGCTCTTTTGTTTGTTTGTTTAAAGAAGTGAATGTTAAACAGCACTCCTTGCCGCTGTCTGACCATCAGAGGTCAGAGAGCCTTTCCCTTGGGTGCTAGATAAAAAATCTGCAGACCTTGACGGCACGTCTGATACTGAGACTGCTGCACAATTTGCAGGGACATTTGTCTTTTAGAGGAAATTTTGGTCTGCTGAGCATGTCTCGTTGTTCATGTGGATCTTGTTATCAAAATAATGATCAAACTCTTTTATGAAATTAGTTTAGATTTTTTCTGATGCGAGTATTATTTCAACAGTGTGCAGGCATTGCCCTGTAATATGCCAGTAGTTTTTTTGCTCAATGTGTGTGCTCAATGGTGTGGTCAATGTTTTTATCACTGTCTTACTTTTCCCCTCCACTAAATGACACAATGTCAATGTGTTTCTCTTTGCTATTTAAAACAGATTGCCTTATTTCATTTTGATCATAGGCCTTTGCGGTTTAAAAGCGCTTTGGTGTTGGGGCTGTTTTGTTTAGAAGGGGCTAACTATTTTGTTAGTTTAAAGAAGTGAATGTTATACCACACTCCTTGCCGCTGTCTGACCATCAGAGGTCAGAGAGCCTTTCCCTTGGGTGCTAGATGAAAAACCTACAGATCTTGACGGCACGTCTGATACTGAGAGTGCTGCACAATTTGCAGGGACATTTGTCTGTTAGCTTAGAGGAAATGTGTTTGAGTCTGCTGACCGTGTCACTTTGTTCATGTGGGTTTTTGTTGTCCCAAAAAAATGATCAAACACTTCGATAAAATTAGTTTAGATCTTTTCTAATCTGAATATTATTTCAATTGTGTACAGGCCCTGCCCTGTGGCATGTTTTTAGTTTTATGCTCAATGGTGTGGTTATTGTTGTTTCTGTCTTTCTGTCTTACCTTTTCCCCTGCACAAAATGGCACTATGTCAGTGTGTTTCTCTTGTCTTGATCAAGAACTTAACAGATTGCCTGATTTCATTTTGATCACATAGGCCCTTGGATTTTGAGAGAGCTTTGGTGTTGGGGCTGGTTTGTTTAGAAGATGCAAGCTCTTTTGTTTGTTTGTTTAAAGAAGTGAATGTTAAACAGCACTCCTTGCCGCTGTCTGACCATCGGAGGTCAGAGAGCCTTTCCCTTGTGTGCTAGATGAAAAATCTGCAGACCTTGACGGCACGTCTGACACTGAGACTGCTGCACAATTTGCAGGGACATTTGGCTGTTAGCTTAGAGGAAATCTATTCACGCAGGTTGTGTTGTCTAAGTAAATGAGCAAATTCTTTGATACAATTAGTTTTCTCATTGAGTGCTATTTCTATGATATCCAAGTTCTGCCATGTGGTTTGTCTTGTTTTTTGTTGTCGAATAGTGTGTTCTGCTTGTTGATAATTTAAATGTTTCTGTTTTCTGAAATCTGTGCCTGTGGGTAGATGGAAGGTGCCACTGGTAGTTGCTACTTCCTTTCTGTTCCCCTACGATCTTTGTCTTTGTCTTACCTTTTTCCTTGGCGTTAAACGACACATACAGGCCCTTGTGTTTTAAAAGAGCTGTTGTGCTGGGGATATTTTGGTTAGCAGGTGTTTGTTTAAAAAAGTGAATGTTATATGGCACTCCTTGCCGCTGTCTGACCATCAGAGGTTAGAGAGCCTTTCCCTTGTGTGCTAGATAAAAAACCTGCAGACCTTGACGGCATGTCTGATACTGAGACTGCTGCACAATTTGCTGGGACATTTGTCTCTTAAAGGAAATTTTGGTCTGCTGAGCATGTCTCGTTCAAGTGGATCTTGTTGTCAAATGAATGAGCCAATTCTTTGATTTAATTAGGAGTAGATTTTTGTTCTGATGTGATCATTATTTCTATGGTGTGCTAGCACTGCCCTGTGGTGTGTGTTATTTTTTGGCAGAATGGTGTTGTTAATAATGTTTCTGTTTTCTGAAATCTGTAGCTGTGGGTAGATGGAGGGTGCCACTGGTAGTTCATACTTTCTTTTTGTCCCCCCCTACAGTCTTTGTCTTTGTCTTACTTTTTTCCCTTGGCGTTAAACGACACATACAGGCCCTTGTGTTTTAAAAGAGCTGTTGTGCTGTGGCTATTTTGGTTAGCAGGTGTTTGTTTTCAGAAGTGAATGTTATACCGCACTCCTTGCCGCTGTCTGACCATCAGAGGTCAGAGAGCCTTTCCCTTGGGTGCTAGATAAAAAATCTGCAGACCTTGACGGCACGTCTGACACTGAGACTGCTGCACAATTTGCAGGGACATTTGTCTGTTAGCTTAGAGGAAATGTGTTTGAGTCTGCTGACCGTGTCACTTTGTTCATGTGGGTTTTGTTGTAAAAAAAATGATCAAACTCTTTGATGAAATTAGTTCAGATCTTTTCTAATCTGAATATTATTTCAATTGTGTACAGGCCCTGCCCTGTTGCATGTTTTTAGTTTTTTGCTCAATGGTGTGGTAATTGTTGTTTCTGTCTCTCTGTCTTACCTTTTCCCCTGCACAAAATGGCACTATGTCAGTGTGTTTCTCTTGTCTTGATCAAAAACTTAACAGATTGCCTGATTTCATTTTGATCACATAGGCCCTTGGGTTTTGAGAGAGCTTTGGTGTTGGGGCTGGTTTGTTTAGAAGATGCAAGCTCTTTTGTTTGTTTGTTTAAAGAAATGAATGTTAAACAGCACTCCTTGCCGCTGTCTGACCATCAGAGGTCAGAGAGCCTTTCCCTTGGGTGCTAGATAAAAAATCTGCGGATCTTGACGGCATGTCTGACACTGAGACTGCTGCACAATTTGCAGGGACATTTGCCTGTTAGCTTAGAGGAAATCTATTCACGCAGGTTGTGTTGTCTAAGTAAATGAGCAAATTCTTTGATACAATTAGTTTTCTCATTGAGTGCTATTTCTATGATATCCAAGTTCTGCCATGTGGTTTGTCTTGTTTTTTGTTGTCGAATAGTGTGTTCTGCTTGTTGATAATTTAAATGTTTCTGTTTTCTGAAATCTGTGCCTGTGGGTAGATGGAAGGTGCCACTGGTAGTTGCTACTTCCTTTCTGTTCCCCTACGATCTTTGTCTTTGTTTACCTTTTTCCTTGGCGTTAAACGACACATACAGGCCCTTGTGTTTTAAAAGAGCTGTTGTGCTGGGGATATTTTGGTTAGCAGGTGTTTGTTTAAAAAAGTGAATGTTATATGGCACTCCTTGCCGCTGTCTGACCATCAGAGGTTAGAGAGCCTTTCCCTTGTGTGCTAGATAAAAAACCTGCAGACCTTGACGGCATGTCTGATACTGAGACTGCTGCACAATTTGCTGGGACATTTGTCTCTTAAAGGAAATTTTGGTCTGCTGAGCATGTCTCGTTCAAGTGGATCTTGTTCTCAAATGAATGAGCCAATTCTTTGATTTAATTAGGAGTAGATTTTTGTTCTGATGTGATCATTATTTCTATGGTGTGCTAGCACTGCCCTGTGGTGTGTGTTATTTTTTGGCAGAATGGTGTTGTTGATAATGTTTCTGTTTTCTGAAATCTGTAGCTGTGGGTAGATGGAGGGTGCCACTGGTAGTTCATATTTTCTTTTTGTCCGCCCTACAGTCTTTGTCTTTGTCTTACTTTTTTCCCTTGGCGTTAAACGACACATACAGGCCCTTGTGTTTTAAAAGAGCTGTTGTGCAGGGGCTATTTTGGTTAGCAGGTGTTTGTTTTCCGAAGTGAATGTTATACAGCACTCCTTGCCGTTGTCTGACCATCAGAGGTCAGAGAGCCTTTCCCTTGGGTGCTAGATAAAAGATCTGCAGACCTTGACGGCATGTCTGACTCTGAGACTGCTGCCCAATTTGCAGGGACATTTGTCTGTTAGATGGAAGTTGATTCTGCTGAACGTGTTTCGTTGTTCATACGTGTCTTGTTGTCAAAAATAATGATCAAAGTATTCGATAAAATTTAGTGTCGATTTTTTTTTGGAGACTGATTTACAATGCCTTGTGACATGTTTGTAGTTTTGTTTTTTTAACTTTAACAATGGCTTGGTCATTGTTTTTTTTTTGTGGTCTATTTTTAAAAACTTTTTCCCCTGCACGAAATGACACTTTGTCAATGTGTTTGTATTTTCTAAATCTAAATCTTAACAGATTGTCAGATTTCATTTTGACCATAGGCCCTTGTGTTTTAAAAGAGCTTTGGTGTTGGGGCTGTTTTGGTTAGCATGTGCAAGCTCTTTTGTTTGTTTAAAGAAGTGAATGTTAAACAGCACTCCTTGCCGCTGTCTGACCATCAGAGGTCAGAGAGCCTTTCCCTTGGGTGCTAGATAAAAAATCTGCGGATCTTGACGGCATGTCTGACACTGAGACTGCTGCACAATTTGCAGGGACATTTGCCTGTTAGCTTAGAGGAAATCTATTCACGCAGGTTGTGTTGTCTAAGTAAATGAGCAAATTCTTTGATACAATTAGTTTTCTCATTGAGTGCTATTTCTATGATATCCAAGTTCTGCCATGTGGTTTGTCTTGTTTTTTGTTGTCGAATAGTGTGTTCTGCTTGTTGATAATTTAAATGTTTCTGTTTTCTGAAATCTGTGCCTGTGGGTAGATGGAAGGTGCCACTGGTAGTTGCTACTTCCTTTCTGTTCCCCTACGATCTTTGTCTTTGTCTTACCTTTTTCCTTGGCGTTAAACGACACATACAGGCCCTTGTGTTTTAAAAGAGCTGTTGTGCTGGGGATATTTTGGTTAGCAGGTGTTTGTTTAAAAAAGTGAATGTTATATGGCACTCCTTGCCGCTGTCTGACCATCAGAGGTTAGAGAGCCTTTCCCATGTGTGCTAGATAAAAAACCTGCAGACCTTGACGGCATGTCTGATACTGAGACTGCTGCACAATTTGCTGGGACATTTGTCTCTTAAAGGAAATTTTGGTCTGCTGAGCATGTCTCGTTCAAGTGGATCTTGTTCTCAAATGAATGAGCCAATTCTTTGATTTAATTAGGAGTAGATTTTTGTTCTGATGTGATCATTATTTCTATGGTGTGCTAGCACTGCCCTGTGGTGTGTGTTATTTTTTGGCAGAATGGTGTTGTTGATAATGTTTCTGTTTTCTGAAATCTGTAGCTGTGGGTAGATGGAGGGTGCCACTGGTAGTTCATATTTTCTTTTTGTCCGCCCTACAGTCTTTGTCTTTGTCTTACTTTTTTCCCTTGGCGTTAAACGACACATACAGGCCCTTGTGTTTTAAAAGAGCTGTTGTGCAGGGGCTATTTTGGTTAGCAGGTGTTTGTTTTCCGAAGTGAATGTTATACAGCACTCCTTGCCGCTGTCTGACCATCAGAGGTCAGAGAGCCTTTCCCTTGGGTGCTAGATAAAAAATCTGCAGACCTTGACGGCACGTCTGACACTGAGACTGCTGCACAATTTGCAGGGACATTTGTCTGTTAGCTTAGAGGAAATGTGTTTGAGTCTGCTGACCGTGTCACTTTGTTCATGTGGGTTTTGTTGTAAAAAAAATGATCAAACTCTTTGATGAAATTAGTTCAGATCTTTTCTAATCTGAATATTATTTCAATTGTGTACAGGCCCTGCCCTGTTGCATGTTTTTAGTTTTTTGCTCAATGGTGTGGTTATTGTTGTTTCTGTCTGTCTGTCTTACCTTTTCCCCTGCACAAAATGGCACTATGTCAGTGTGTTTCTCTTGTCTTGATCAAGAACTTAACAGATTGCCTGATTTCATTTTGATCACATAGGCCCTTGGATTTTGAGAGAGCTTTGGTGTTGGGGCTGGTTTGTTTAGAAGATGCAAGCTCTTTTGTTTGTTTGTTTAAAGAAATGAATGTTAAACAGCACTCCTTGCCGCTGTCTGACCATCAGAGGTCAGAGAGCCTTTCCCTTGGGTGCTAGATAAAAAATCTGCAGACCTTGACGGCACGTCTGATACTGAGACTGCTGCACAATTTGCAGGGACATTTGCCTGTTAGCTTAGAGGAAATCTATTCACGCGGGTTGTGTTCTCTAAGTAAATGAGCAAATTCTTTGATACAATTAGTTTTCTCATTGAGTGCTATTTCTATGATATCCAAGTTCTGCCATGTGGTTTGTCTTGTTTTTTGTTGTCGAATAGTGTGTTCTGCTTGTTGATAATTTAAATGTTTCTGTTTTCTGAAATCTGTGCCTGTGGGTAGATGGAAGGTGCCACTGGTAGTTCCTACTTCCTTTCTGTTCCCCTACGATCTTTGTCTTTGTCTTACCTTTTTCCTTGGCGTTAAACGACACATACAGGCCCTTGTGTTTTAAAAGAGCTGTTGTGCTGGGGCTATTTTGATTAGCAGGTGTTTGTTTTTTTAAGTGAATGTTATACCGCACTCCTTGCCGCTTTCTGACCATCAGAGGTTAGAGAGCCTTTCCCTTGGGTGCTAGATAAAAAAACCTGCAGACCTTGACGGCACGTCTGATACTGAGACTGCTGCACAATTTGCAGGGACATTTGTCTCTTAAAGGAAATTTTAGTCTGCTGAGCATGTCTCGTTCAAGTGGATCTTGTTCTCAAATGAATGAGCCAATTTCTTTGATTAAATTAGGAGTAGATTTTTGTTCTGATGTGATCATTATTTCTATGGTGTGCAAGCACTGCCCTGTGGTGTGTGTTATTTTTTGGCAGAATGGTGTTGTTGATAATGTTTCTGTTTTCTGAAATCTGTAGCTGTGGGTAGATGGAGGGTGCCACTGGTAGTTCATACTTTCTTTCTGTCCCCCCTACAGTCTTTGTCTTTGTCTTACTATTTTCCCTTGGCGTTAAACGACACATACAGGCCCTTGTGTTTTAAAAGAGCTGTTGTGCTGGGGCTGTTTTGGTTAGCAGGTGTTTGTTTTCAGAAGTGAATGTTATACCGCACTCCTTGCCGTTGTCTGACCATCAGAGGTCAGA